CCGTCCAACGTGGAGTACCATGCAGGCGTTCTCCCAGTCGGACCATCGAAGAGGCAGAAAGTAAACGACGTTGGCGTTGGACAGGCACTTGCATCCACCACCACATGGAGCTGAGAAGAACCGTTCGCGCATCGTTCCCAAAGTCAACCCGGACAGGCATTTTCAGTTATATGTCCTTCCCGTGTCTATAGGTCGTTAATTTACCAATGCAATATGAATTGTATATCGCAAAAAATATATTTCTAAAAGTAATGTATTTGAATTTTATAACCGTATAAGTTTTGTCATATATATGTAACTCATACTCCCTCTATTCCTAAATGTAGTGCGCATAGAATTTTCTAGGAGTCAAACATTGTTTAGTTTGACCAAGTTTAGTGAGAAAAGCATCAACCAAAATAATACCAAACAAATATAATATAAATATATGCTTAATGATGCATCTAATGATATTTACTTAATACTGTAGATGTAGATATTTGTCATCTATAAATGTAGTCAAAGTAGGGAGAATTTGACTTTTGAACTTTCCTATGCGCACTACATTTAGGAATAGGGGGAGTATTAGGCTGGTCGTAGTTGAAGTATTATATGAATTATCATGCACGTCAACTACTCCCTCCGTCTAGGTGAGTAAGTCATCTTAGGTTGTGCACCGTGACCAAGAAGAAGGAGAAAACGAGAGAACTTAATATTCATTTGCTAATTAATAGCATTGCATGCAATGAACTAACCACTGCATGTCGTGTTTGGTAGTCTCAAGTCATTAAAAGCATGCACACCCCACATCTCTTATTGGTTGATATGTCAAGAAAAAAACGAGGTCGAATTTAATGCATCGCGCCTAAGTGTTTTGGGATTATTTGATTTTCGTAAGATGACTTACACACCTAAACGGAGGGAGTAAGCAATTTAGATAAGGTGACATATAATTAAATAAAGAAAAAGATGAGTGAGTATCATGATATGATATTGTATTATATTAAGGACGATGATAACTGCCACACGTGTGGGCATTAAGGGGTCTGGCCACACGTTTTGTGTGGTGTCTAAGAGGACCAGCCCACGCGGCTATGTGTGGGCAAAACAACTAGCGCCCACACGCCTTCTTTTTTCCTTGCGGTCCCTCTTACACGCCTACATGTGGGCAAAACAACTAGCGCCCACACGCCTCTTTTTTTCCTTGCGGTCCCTCTTACACGCCTACGTGTGGGCAAAATGGATAGTTGCCACACGACCTCTCTCAACCACCTACCTCACGGTCTCGCACGGCCCCGCGAGACAGTCAGCACGCGTCCCGTAGTTGCCATGGTCCGGACCCTCTTCAATGTTTGTTTAACTGCAATTGTCATGTTGCTGGACTACAGTTGTCATGTCGGACAACTACAGTTGCCATGGTTGCTCAACTGCAATTGTCATCTCAGGTCAAGTGCAAGATGCCATTTTGGACAACTGCAGCTGTTGCCATGTATGGTCTGGTTTACTATAGTTGCCATAATTTGAAAACTTTAGAGGTTGCCACCTACTAACACTAAACAGTTGTCATGTATGGTCTGGTTTATAACAGTTGCCATGATTTGAAAACCTTAGGAGTTGACACCTACTAGCACTAGGCAGTTGTCGTGTAGCGCTACAAAAAGACATGACGAAACAACATGTTCGGGTAAAGAGAGAGTTGTCATCTACTTACAAGCAAACTAGGGCAGTTGTTGTGTACCCTGCAAAACACATGGCAACTGACATGTTCGGATAAAAAAAAAGAGTTGTCATTTGCTTACAAGCACACTAGGGCAGTTGCCATGTACACTGCAAAACACATGACAACTGACAGCTTGGATGTGGGAGAGGAGACGGGCGTGTGGGTGAGATGGCAAATGCCCACACACCAGTCCTTGTGCGTGAGTGAAAATTGGCGTGTGGGCGAACTGCTAAACGCCCACACGTCGGTCCCTTCATGTGGTGAAACGGACATGTGGACGACCGGGTGAATGCCCACACACCAGCCCAATCCTACATGGCACCACAAACATGTCAAGATTCATGCACCCACAAACGGACGCGGATCCACGAGTGTGAGCGAGATGCAAACGCCCACACGTATGGGCATTAGTGTTTCCGTATATTAAATGATGTGCTATTTATGTGTCTTGCATGACAATATATAAGATCATCTCCGGAACCAACATATGATAGTATGCACTATGCATGATACCAGTTTATGATACTGCGCACTACGACCAACCTTATGTTGGTTAAATTGTCGATCCGGTGATACACGTAAACATATAAAATCGAGAGGAGGTAGTAGTGGACACTATAGTAGCTAGCAGAGCCACAAGCCCACAACTATTAATTAGGCTGGAAATTGGTTGACAAACTTCGATTTAATTAGTGTTGGAAGAGTGATGGAAGAATTTTGGTTAGCAATTCAAACCCTTCTTTTTATGGGAACGTCGGTGACGAGATCTCTTGAATAGTATTATCGTTGACATGATGCAAATGTACTTGGATCCGGACTGCACGGATCTGGAGTGCAATGTAAGCTGGAATGATTCATTCGTTCGTGCATATGCTAGCTTAACCACAAAGAGTCTTATAGTATCAACACCCTGTTCTGATAGCAGCCGTGGTTAAATGGATGGGCGTATGGTATATGAGATGATATCTACCATAGGGAGGGCTCCTTCCATTTTTGCATACAAAGACACTGCATATTTTTATGTCTAGTAACTTTTGACATTTATTTTATCAATAAAATAGGAGTTATATGCCACAAAAAGTATGTCATCGCATGCACATTTCAAAAAACTTTCCGATGATATATATGATGGCATGTAACTTATATTTTGTCAACCAAAATTACAAGTCAGAGTTTGACACGAAGCAAAGTGGCCTTTGTATACAAAAACGGAGGGGGTGCTAGATTTATTTCTCGTAAACTGTATGTGCTCCCAGATTTTGCAAAATTGTGGATGAAACTGTTTTTATAATATAACAGTTTGGTCAGATGGCATTTCTTGTTATGTGTGTTTAGATTGGAACCAACAATAGGGAATATCAAATAATTCGTTGTCTAGCTAGATTCATGTGTCAAGTTCCAGCAGAAGTTGAGCATTGATTTATACGACATATCATCATTTAGTGGGATTCAACCATTTTCGTTTTGAAAAACATTGAGTAAACTAATCTATCTTAGTAGGACACACAAACATTAAACCTGGTGCACAACCACCTACTCTGAAAAAAGGTTTTCGCCTCGCTTTTTTTTTAATAAAACAACCACCACGTCCATGCAACAAGTTCAAATGCGGCATAGGAATAAAATACTATCAACCTAATGCTTTTGGTGCTCATGGAATTCAACTACTATTTGCCTATATGTGTGACATCTATACATCACCAATTCATAACCAACAACATACATTTTGTTCCTTCATGGTTACAAAAAAAGTCAATATGGTGGCTAAGCGCTACTAATTGAGCGCCAATCTAATTACAACATATCATAAACTCAACAAATTTGTGTTATTGGTATTACTTTTAAAAGTAATTTGTAGGAATGGTTTCCAAGTATCAATCCAAAGATAAGCGTCAGATTTTTCTTCAAAATTATTAACTTGTAGGTCTATCTAAAACGACAACTTTTGAGAGCCAGATCTTGTAAAAAAGTTAGGATAAAAGATAGGACTATATAACCCCTCTCTAAAAGACGACATCGATATAAGAAAAGATAGATCGTAGCCATTGAAAGAGGGATCCATGGAAAGATTCTGAAGGCGCGGGACTTAGAAAACTCAGCGTGACAGGTTGGAGCAGATTTACATAGGTTCAGATCGATCAGGTGAAGCATTAAACAAGTCAGAATTAGGTAGTCAAAGCCTATGGGATGGCAGCACCTCGCCGCGGTGCGCACATCTCAATAGACGGAACATAGCAGCACCCAGCAGGGTCAGGGATCTGAACATTAACAACACGGCTCACAGAGCAGGGACAGCGCCTCCTGCCTATTCGTACAAATATGTTAACCTCTGCAATTTTCCAGGTCAACCGTTCGATCGAGCCTCCCCACTCTGCCAATCTGCCAATCCCATCCCGTCCCATGCAAGCCCCCTTTGTGCAAAGGGGCCTGAGCTTGTAGACATTTCAGGAACCACTAGGGGTTTTTCCGCAACATTGGAACTACCGATAGGAGTTTTTTGAGCTGCCGATAGGAGTTCAGAGTTTTTTGAACTACGGATGGAACTCTCTCGGGGGATCTGCACCAAGCAAATCGGTGGCATGTCAAACGTTAAGATCGTGCTACAGCCAAGCCAGCTCGGTAGGACTGGATCAGCTTGCACATGCACCTAGCGAGTCAAAGCTAGCTCGCGGTAGTGAAAGGAAAAGTCGAGGCCGCCATGGGAGCTGCCATCTATCTATCGCTACCACATGTTTCACAACCGTCGCCTACTTTTCCAACGTGAAGGCCGGAGAAGCAAAGCTAGAGGAGAAACCCAGCTACCGCGACGTTAACGCACGAACGCCCCAGAAAGTCAACTATTCAAAATGTCAAATGGAGGAGTAATTACGGACCTAATTTGGAAATACCACAAAGCGAGGGCCTAGTCCGTAAACGCAGCTCCGCTCTGACCCGAACCGCGAGCGACCAGTAAACAAAGGGCAGCCATGTGATACTGTATGATGCATGTGAACACCACCACGACGAATCCCGACGTTAAATAATCCGGAGGCAACAGCTGCCTCCGCAAGCCGCGCCCCCGCCCGCCCGCTCCGCTGGTCTTCTTCGTTCCAACTTCTTCTTCCAAAACCCACAGATAGCTAGCTAGCACGAATAAACTAGAGCTCCAACTTGCGGACGCGCGCGCACCGGCCACGGGCCACCAACCGGCTTACTATATATCCCGCTCCGGCGCCCCACCGCCATTTCGTCAACCCGCGGCGCATTTCGTCCGGACGCGTTTAACGTGCTGCGGCCGAGCTACTAATCAGTTCCGGTGAAGATGGCAGCCATGGTGCCGCCGACCGCGACGCCCGCCGAGGTGCCGTCCTACTTCCTCTGTCCGATCTCGCTCCAGCTCATGCGCGACCCGGTCACGCTGCCCACCGGCATCTCCTACGACCGCGCCGCCATCTCGCGCTGGCTCGCCGCGTCTGCTGCGCCGGCCGCGTGCAGCACCAGCCAGCGCACCTGCCCCGTCACGCGCCAGCCGCTCGAGCCGGAGCTCCAGCTCACGCCCAACCACACCCTCCGCCGCCTCATCGGCTCCTGGGTCGCGTCCATCTCCCCCGGCTCCGACGTCGAGGGGGAGGTGGCCGCGCTGAGGCCCGTGCACCGCGACGAGCTCGCGTCGCTGCTCTCCGACGCCGCCGCTGCCCAGGTCGGCGCGCTCAGGAAGCTGGGGGAGTTGGTGGCCGAGTGCGAGGACACGAGGGCAATGCTGGAGTCCCAGGATGGCGTGTTCGACGCGCTGTCTCGTGTCCTCACCGGCGCCAGCGCTTGCTCCACGGCGCGGGAGGAGGCGGTCGGGGTCCTCGCGTCGCTCCGGATCCCGGAGCAGGAGCTGGTCCGCATCGTGTCCAGGCACGGCAACCTGGCGGAGTCCCTCACGGCCGTGCTCCGCTCGTCCAACCTGCAGTCGAGGGCGCAGGCCGTGCGGCTCGTGAGGTCCCTGGCCGACGTGTCCGTGCCGGCCTGGGTGATCGGGCTGAACCAGGAGCTCCTCGCCGAGGTGATCCGCGTGGTCCGCGACCGAGTCTCGACGCGCGCCACCAAGGCGGCGCTCCACGCGCTCTCCGCGCTCTGCCCGTACGGCCGGAACCGCGTCAAGATCGTCGGCGCGGGCGCGGTGCCGGCGCTCGTGGAGCTGCTGCTGGACGAGCCCGAGCGGCGGGTCTGCGAGCTCGCGCTGGCCGTGCTGGACCGGCTGTGCACGTGCGCCGAGGGGCGCGCCGAGCTGGTGGCGCACGCGGCGGGCGTGGCCGTGGTGGGCAAGAAGGTGCTGCGGGTGTCGGAGGCGGCCAGCGAGCGGGCGGTGCGCGTGCTGAGGTCCGTCGCACGGCACGCGGCGACGCCGGCCGTGCTGCAGGAGATGGCGCAGGCCGGCGTCGTGGGCAAGCTGTGCCTGGCGCTGCGGTCCGAGCTGTGCGGGGTGAAGACCAAAGAGAAGGCGCACGAGGTGCTCAAGCTGCACTCCAGGATCTGGAGGAGCTCACCGTGCTTGTCTCCCAAGTTCTTGGCGCTCTACCCTTCGTGACGATCAATGCCTTCCGACTCCCGTCCCGTTCATCAGAATGCTCAGCTGTTGATTCATTCTTTCCCTGTGTTGTTGTTACCTTTTCTTTTTTAAAAAAAATTGGATCTGGAGGGCACTGGTTCGTGCCTACAAAAGAGAAATACATCGACACCGAGCTTTTTTGGTTGCCTACTTATTCTGTGGAGGATGATCCCATTTCTTTCATCAGAGATAAATGATTTTGCCATGTTTCATGCTTAGTGGATTTTTTTGCTCATGACTAGTAATCTGATGGTGTGGAGTGACCATAAGCCTTTTTTCTTAGAAAAAACTGTGCAAACGCAGACACTCGTATAAATGTACGAACACTCACCTTATGAACGTAAGAAGGCAGACCTTGCCCTGATAAGCACCTCTAAAGGACTAAGCAGACCAACCTTGAGATTGACGAACTTAACACATGAGCCTTGTAGTCAACGAGAACCTTGTCTCCCTGGAAGGAATGAACACAAAAAAGATTGAAATAAATCCAGAAAAATACAAATACGCATGCCAAGTCTAGATTTTGAAGCCAGGTGGATTGACCATATGATTGTCAGGGCATCTCCAACGCCGTCCCCTAAAACATACACAGTATCTATCAGCGGACTCATTTGCGGACACGGATACGAAAGCCGGTCATCTAGCCGCATTCCCTAAACGTCCGCCCAAGTCCGACCTCTTTCATATCGAATGCATAGCAAGATGAGCAAATTAAAGAGCGGTCTTTCATAGCGCCCGATCACAACCAAAAAGAGGTGCATCTCCATAGGTTTTACATGCGCTTGATCACAAAAAGTTCCAGACCCGTAGTCCAGCGAAACAACAATTGTTGCCATCCCAGACAGGCTGCCCGTGCCTCCTCGCTCACTTTGCGGCAAACTCCTCCACATCATCCATCTCCTCACCATTTGCCTCCATCTCGGCCGCCAATGCTTCAACATCCAAATAAGGACGGTGTGCATGATCATGGCCCTCATTGAGATCCAACTCGTCCATCCTCCTCATGGCCAATATTTTCTATCCTTTGAATCAGCCGCAAGCTCAACCTTCCTAGATAAACTTTAAGGTGAAATTGCTACTTGGTCACAAACCATTACAGTTGGGGCCCCAACAACTTTTTAGATTAGAGGAAGCAGATGCTAGCACTACTCCGTGACAAGAAATAATAGGGGCCTCTCTCACGACTGTGAATGCTGTAAGGTGGATCATTGGGTCAGCCCTATTTGGTAGATGTTTCCTCGGTATTTTTTTTAGCTATTTTTGTTCTACTATTCTTTTCTTTTTCTTTTTGCTGTTTCTCTTTTGGTTTACCCTTTTTCTGTTTGTCTAAAAGAAATATATTTTTACGTGAACATTTTTTCAAATTACATGTATATGTGAATGTTTTTGAGAAGGGCGAACAATTTTCAATATTATACGAACACATTTGTAAGATAACTTAACATTTTTTAATTGCATGTTTCTTGCCTGATTTTTTTAATTACATGAGTATTTTTCAAATTATATACCATTCTAAAATGAATTTTTCTAAATGAGTAAATATTTTTTGAAAATTACACAAACATATTTTTGAGACATGAACACATCGTAAAGCCACACCAGTTTTTAATATATATGATTACATAGATGCTTAATGCATGAACATGAAGATTTTCATAATACAAAACTTTTTTGATTACATTAACATCTTTTTAGTATGAAATGTTTTACTTAACTACATGAACATATTCTCAAATTGTGGGAAACACTATTGTTAAATTATATGAAACAATTTTTAGGAGTACATGAATATTAGATTTAAATTTATGCAGAGATTTTATAACACAACAACATGTTTACTTTTTTATATAATGTACTGTACTTGTTTATAATGTACTCCCTCTGTTCCGAAATATAAGTCGTTGGGTAGTTTAGTTTACACTTCCCCAACGACTTATATTTAGGAATGAAGGGAGTATATAATTTTTAGTTTTTCTAGAACTGTATATACTAGTGATCTAAATGCTCTTATATTTCTTTATGGAGGGAGTACTTTTTAGTGACAATTCGTAAAATTTAGAAATTGCAGGTACTAATTTTATGGGCCGCACCCAAGCCGGACCATTTGCAGATGCAGTGGCCGAATTGCCTTAACGGTCACAACGAGCGTTGTTTAAGCGTTATACACATCACCACCCCCCCACGACCCCACTCCTCCAAGGAACTACCCAAACCGCACCCGCACTTCCTCTTCTTCTTCTTCCCGCCCTCCCCGCGCTTCCCCACTCCGCTCCTCTCCGCCCCGCAACCTCCCCAAACCCCCCCAACCCCGCGCCCGCGCGTCGCACGGAAACCCTAAGCCTGCCCTGTCCGATCGCCGTGTCACCACCGATGGCGGGGCCTCCCCGCCCAGCGCCCGCCGCTCAGCCCGTCCGCCGCTCCGCCCGCCTCGGCCCACAGGCGCCCCACCAGCCCCCCTGCTCTCCCCCGCCACCGTCCCCGCCGGCCGCGGCGGGGTCCCCAGGAGGAACGGACCCCCGACGGTCGGTGCGCATCAGCGTCCGGACCCGCGTCCGTGGCCTCCCCTCGGCGGCGCCGTCGTCCTCGCGGATACGGCGCAAGTCCCCCGCGGCGCCTCTGCGGCGGACAGTACAGGCATGCGCGGAGGAGTGGGGGGCAGCGAAGGCCGCGTCAGGCGCCCCGGCGGAGGAGTGCGTCCTCCCTTTCCTCCCGAAAGGCGCGCCGAGGAAGGTACGTGCCGGTACCACTGCCAGGCCTGCAATTCAGTTACCAGCTTGTGTCAAACAGGACTTTGATGACAACGAAAATGTTAGGTTTGCTAGAAACGGGATGAACTGATAAATGGGGGTGATTGTCTGATGGCACGGAACTCGGGATAGAGACCGAAAGGGGAACATGGGTTGGAACAAAGAACAATGGGTCTCAATGCGGTTATTAGCACTCCACACTGAGAGCAAATGATACACTAGATGGATTTGGATATCACCACAGAAATTGGAGAGAAAACAAGAACTGTGACAAAGATGTGCAAATCAGTGGAATAAGGGTTATATTTGAATAGGGACGTCACCGCACTAGAAAATGTGAGGTGGTTATTCATTTTATCGGACAATTGGACTGAAGGCACACATTGTGTTTCCAATAGTTCATCACAAGTAAAGAACATGGAGTACTTCAGAAACATGATACAAAATGTTAAATTGAGTTCTATAACATATAAACCATATGAACTGGACGGATAGTGGCATCTCAAGTTATATATGCAGAGCACACATGGAAGAATTTAGCTCTATGCAAGAAAAAGAAGCTAGAGCGCACAGGAGGAACTATGTGTCTTTTCAGTTAAGGTAGGAGATGGGACTCAAACTCTTGATCTCAATGACATTACCTAAGTGCGTGCAAGAACGGAGTGTTGATCTGAAGACAACCTGAAGAAACTGAATTTTTTGAAGAGGGTAGATATTCTTAGGAAATATGGGTGCCTTCCAAAGTATATGTTCCTGGAATGTTCTTTGGACAAAGATGCTTTGACAACCTGTATAAAAAGTTGCTGCATATGTGATCGCCCAACTCTGATAGAACTGACAGAAGAAGGCTGTAATATTGAGAGTTCAATTAAACACAAGTGTTGTGCCGTTGCTTGTATTCATTCTCTGTAGCTCTGGTTGCTGATAAATAAGGGAACAATAATCCTGGAATATGCTATAAATATTGTAATAAGGGACATCAAGGTGATCAGGGTATGGAATCTTCTGCATAGAAACACTGTCAGACTCTTATAAGTTAATTAAATATTAGGTGAAAGCTTGGTCAAGAAATGAAGGAAGGATGCCAAGTAACACTTCCTATAGGATTCTGATCCACTTTAAAGCTTCTGAATATAGGATATCAATATCAAGTGATTCTGTTCACACAGTATTTTAATGTGTACTCCGGATGTTACATAAGGTAGTGTGAGTGTGATTCCCTACTGATGCTCTAAAAGAAGGAATCTTTAAAATCCTTTGGATTTAGGTTGAGTGCCTGATTTGCTCGAGGAGTATCCTGCCCGATGAAAGGACGCGATGTTCAGGTCATCACTGTGAAGTAACCTTGCACAAGGTTTGTTCTGAAAAAAGTGATGGAAGCTGCCCTCGACATGTAAGTTGCTGAAACAAAGTTACATATCTAAAAAGAAATTATAAGTGTTTCCAACATTACAAACAATGATATACTCCCTCTGTCCCAAAATAAGTGTCTCGGACTTGGTACAACTTTGTAATAAAGTTGTACTAAGTTCAAGACACTTATTTTGGGACAGAGGGAGTACTATAGATATAAATGCCTATCTGTGCATCCAATAAGAAATAATTAGAGGACCTATTTTGTGTCGTTGAAGTTTTTGTTAGTTTCAACAATTTATGATTATTTATCCCCTCATATTTTTGTTAACTGTGTAGATATGTTTTCACTGCAAAAGGAGAACAACTTGGCACCGGTTGAAACATGTAATGCCTGCATGTGCACAGTGTTCGCTGCATCAAAACAGAATGGCTGAATCTGTTGATCCTTCAAAGCTAATGAAAAGTTGGAGTATTTGGCCATCAACGATTGAGGTTGATGCTATGCTTCATCCACCCTATTTGGTGCTTCTCTGTCAGTTTCTTATATAAACTGTATCTTCAGTGCCTACAAAAATATAGCACTGTGGATAATTGGGTTTTTACGGCATCATGGCAGTTTATCCTAGATAATAGAGACTGAGTGTTTACAGTTTTCTACTTAATAGACAAGAGCTGAGAATTACAATAAAAACACGGTAAGCTTATTTAGTATTGGGTTGATATGATTGTTAATATTGGCTGATGAGAGGGTAGTATAAGTTAAAGCCTTAAGTGTAATGATGCACAGGGATGCAATTTGAATTATACTTCCTGACCATAACCCGCAGCCCCACGATTCTCAATTTGAAATACAGACTGTTGAGCAGGTTGCGTGAAGCAACCTTATATGCTGACATACCAACAGTCTTTTACCATGTCACGCATATGTTCTTATTCCGTATCACCAATTCTGAAGTTCTTATTATGAAACATAAGCTAGATGATTTTGCACTCTGGTTTCAATTTTTTAACTTCTATTAGTGTATCGACAACGGAGGGCCTCTTCGGATAAGTTGGCGTGCAAACGGCATCCTCCAATTGTAAATGCCTCCAATATGCATTCCAAAATATTCTCTTTGCTGTCTACTTCTCCTAAAATCATTAAAAGAAAGAATATTCAACAATTTATTCCATACCATTTGCTTTAATATGGTTGAATGCATTTTATTTGATCTCTTTATTTCTATAAGCTTTGGTTATTTCTGTTGTTGTTAATGTTGCTGACGGTGTGATATGTGCTTCTTACAGGGTGCAGGTCCAGCATATGACATTGAGGTGGTTAATAGTTCCACTTCACATTTGATTCTCTGTATTGTTGAACACACAGAACTTATCCAATTTTGTTTCTCTGTTGTATTGCCTTCGTAAAAAATTTGACGTTGGTGGACTATTAATGGTTTTGTTCTTACAGTTTTTCTTTCATCTGTATTCATTGTTGAGTATTGATTCATTTACAGGAAGCCTTCCGGCGATTACCTCTCCCGTATGCTGATCAAGAGTTCAATATTGACCCTATTAAGGAGGAGTTGGAAAGTGTGACAAAACCACCTCCATATGTACATTTGAAGCATAGTATCCTTTATATGATTGCAATTTAAACTAGTTGACCAGTTTCCCTTTTATATTTTGTTCATTTTTATCTTTTAACTTTGGAATCTTTCATTTCCTCAATGAGCTAAGATGTATATTTCGTCAAGAAGAAATGTGATGGTGATGCCATTGAAGCTAAATGCAGTGATTGTGACCCTCCTCTGACCTGTCAAATAAGATGCTCGTGCAGGTACAAACCAATTTAATTTCTTGCGTGCATGCTTGTGGGGGATCCTTATTCTCTGTGTAATGTTGTTTTTTATGAGATGATTCTCATCAGAATTTGAAGCGCTTATAATTAGAGAATGATTTTCCAGATTACTATACTCCAATTGAACAGCAAACGTTTTTTCCGATGTATACTGTAACGCTGTATCTTAGAGTTTAGAGTAATTATATTCTATAAAATGCTTCTACGCGTTCATTTTTATAGAAATGCATGTACAATTCTTTATAGAAAGTTATGATAATTCCTACAGGTCTGTGTCCATTAGCTGCTCTCAGGCTTGCAAGTGCTCAAATAAGTGCACTAACAGACCATTTCGCAGAGAGAAAAGGATCGGGGTTGTTAAGGTAAGGAATTCATTGAACTTCTTTTGTTCATGTTTTCAGAAGACAAAAAGTAATTAAAGGTTTTAACTTGCACGACTTAGAACCTTTTTTACAATGTTAACATACTCTTTAATTTCATGACTGCTCTTCCTTCCCCCGTTTCTATAAAGTATTTTATTTTTCTATTTGTGATTTCATGCCTAAACTTGATCTGGTGCGCCAATAATATAAATATATTTTTGTTTCCTTTTATTTGTGCATCTTGTTATTAACTTTCTTTGGTAATATAGCTATGGTTAAGAGATTTTTGTGTGGCAAATAACTCCCTGGTGGGTTTTTTCTGTAGACACAACATTGTGGATGGGGTGCCATAGCATTGGAAACCATCGAGGAAGGTGATTTTGTGATAGAGTTTGTTGGAGAAGGTATTTGAGATTCGTTCTTTGGTTTGCTTTATAATCTGCTTGTAGATAGTTTAAACCCCTACTTCTACAGGAGATTATGACTTGTGATTACCTTCCTAATGATTTTGTGTGAGCTATTCTGCTATGGTGCTGAACATATTGCTGTTAACTTGAGTTCATGTCTGTTAAAATCAAAAGCTAGTTTCATTTCTAGAATACTACAAAAAATAATGATTGGTGCTCACCTCAGTATACTCTCCATTTATTGTTAGATCATATACTATTTTATAATTATAATGCCCCATTCCAGTTATAGATGGCGCGAGATGTGAAGAAAGGCTTCAAGACATGAGACAGCGCCGAGATAAAAATTTCTACATGTGTAAAGTCAACAACAACTTTATAATAGATGCAACATTCAGAGGAAATGATTGCCGCTTTTTTAACCACAGCTGCAGACCTAACTGTCAGTTGGAAAATTGGTAAATGTCTTATTTGCAGAAGCTTGGCGTATGGATTTCTTTAACCTATGTGTTTGTTGATTTAGTGGCTGTTCCTTTATTCTCTAAAGTGTATTTTATGGCTTAACCGAGTTGTTTGTTGCCAGGCAAGTTAGTGGCAAGACAAGGCTAGGTGTGTTTTCTTTACAGGGTATACGAGTGGGTGAGCCCTTGACCTACAATTACAGGTACGTGAGAGACTCAATCAGGCTCGCACTTTATATGCCGTTCTTCCGTATGTACTGCTAAAATTGATGTTTGGTTTAATCTGTATGCATTCTGACACCACCAGATCGTTTGCAACGTTAGTTTGTGTAGCCATACAGATGCTTAGCTGGATCTTTATCCTGACTAAATCATACTACTACCTCTGTTCACTTATATAAGACGTTTTAGACATTCAGACACTTCAAAATAGTACAAAACAAGTTGTCTAAAACGTCTTATAAAAACAAACGGAGGGAGTATCATTTTTCCTTTTCTGGTGCTCCACTGTATTTCTCGTTTTCCTCGCTCTACATTGGTCAATAAAAACTGACACCATAGATAAATAAAAATAAAATCCTAGCGACAATACTAGGTCTGTCTGGAAAGGATGTCAGCAGTGGTGATGCTAGATCCAATATCCCTCTGTATCACTGAAATCTTCCAAACTTGAAGTATTCTGGTGCAGTATAAGTTCAACATAACGGCAATTTGTTTATATTAATACTCCAGAGGCATCAAAGTCATAATTGTTAGTTTGTTACTATAGTTTTAAGTTCTTGTCTGGTTTTAACAACATTTTTTAACATAGTAATGGTTGATTACTTGTTGAGAAAAAGCTTATGGCCGAGACATAATTGTGACTGTGCATAGGCAGAGTTCAGTGTAAAATGGTACAGGATAGCCAGATTAACCGCCCTAGACTCTGGATTTATCTTTGGCATATAGCACTGCACCTGAGTAAAATACTTGGCCTTTGGGAAGCACTAAAAATCATTTCCTCTATTGCTTCACTTTTGAAAATTAGTGTTGCAAGTACACAGAAGAGATGCTCTAGTTGCCTCACGATAGATGTTTTATGATGCACTCTCATCTCAGTTTTGTTTTTTTTGGTCCATCTCGTAGCTTCGAACAACATTTTGGTCCACAGACAGAATGTTTCTGTGGTGCTGAAAACTGCCGAGGGAAGCTGTGATAGGTAAAAGACTGACCAAAGGTGGGGGTACATATAACAGCTCTGACCGAGGGAAGCTGTGGCTCAATGCAAAAGTACAGAGCAGGAAATGGAATCTATAGTGAAGATTGATGCCCAGAGCAGCATGTTACATACTCATCTTCCAAGTGTGCAGGTTTTACTCTGTAAAAAGTGTTTAGCTAGTTCTTTCAACAGATGCCGAGAGCAAGCTGTTTAGCTAGCTAGTTCCTTTTATCTTAAATATTAGTTCAGTTTAGTCGTTCTGGATTGCGATGCTGAACCTCTGCTTTCCTCCGTGGGATCCATCAGAAATCTACATGCAGCATGTGATTCATGCATTATCTTTCAATGTTAAAATTTCACAGCGCCAAAGATCAGGCAACGAAAACCGGTAAACCGCACCGAATTGAGTCATTGCATCACTGCATCTTATTACATCATTTACAGACACATACACAGCGCAGTGGAGTGAACCTCCCTTCGATCTTGAGCTGGAAACTAGAACGAGACACGACGAAATTAAGCATAAGCAAAGCTAATTAAGAGCAGAAGAGCTCGCAAACTACTACTATTTTTTTCTATCTTTTTTTCATTTATGCCAAGATCGATGGATCGATGCGGAACGCGATGAGGCCGGTAGGCCCCTTAGCGAGGCTGCTGGATGGTGCGGGGGCTGAACCTGCCGCCGCCCAGGACCTTAGCAGGCGCCTTCTCCGCGTACTTCGGGACCTCCGGCGGCGAGGCGACGTGCGCCCGCCACCACTTCTCGATCCCCCAGGGCGCCACCTCGCCCCCGCTCTTCTTGACGGCGGCTTCTCCCTTCCTCTCCTCCCCATCTGCTCCGAACAACGGTGGCAGGTTTAACAACAAGGTAACAACCGTGAAGGAAAGTAGATCTGGGCCGGTCTGGTCACGTACCGTTGTGGCGCGGCGGAGGGAAGAAGGCGTCGCTGTCATCTGGGCCTTCGTCGGCGTCCAGCAGCCCCAGGTCGCCGTAGTCGCGGAGCCAGCTGTCGCGGAAGGACGGCGAGGAGGCGACGAGGCGCCACCACTCGGGCGAGAAGTCCTCGACCTCCGCCGCGGCCGCCTGCACGGGGGCGGGGCGGCACCAGCTCCCCGGCACGAAGGGCTCCGCCCACGGGTTCAGCCTCCCGCCGTTGCTGCCGGTCACCACCTCCATGGTTGCCTGTAGTACTGTATCGCTTCCTCCTCTCTTCCCCTCTCGGTCTCGAGCTCACTCGTGCTGCTGCGGTGTGGACTGGTGGAGCGGGATGGAATGGTAATGGACGGTGACAGGTACGGCGTGGGGTGATCTCAATATTATATAGTGCGCCTCTTGGATCTTTTGGGCTGGCCGGTCTTATCCGTTCTGGCGTTCTTATCCGTTGCGGTGGGATATTACCACGTATGCGATGGGTACGGCCCGCTGTTTTCCTATCGGCGGCGTGCTGCCCCCCTCACCGATCGTACTATTACTGTGCGCGATACCGTATCAATTCGAAGGAAACATTGGATTGTTCTCTCTAAACGATCTCCTATACTCCTTTAGTTCATGGATTGTTTTTTGATATTTTGGTGTCAAAAAAGGATGGACCGTGATTTATCTGTGTTGATTGCATAGCCATCAATAATATTACTGTTCGATTATCGGACTACTCCTAGGTTAGAGAATATACTTTATGAATTAAGCGGCTCTATCATATTTTTCAAAGTTGATTTATGTAGTGGATACCATTAAGTTCTTATGAAATTGGGTGAATGATAGAAAGCAACATCAAAAATTGAATTCAGGTTATATGAGTGATTAATTGTGCCTTTTCGATTAACCAATGCACCTAGTACTGTCATGATATTGATGCATAAGGTTTTACGTGCTTTCACTAGATGAGTTGTGGAATTGCACTTTGATGTTATACTGATTTATAACAAATCATTGGATAGACATTTAACCATTTCCATGTTGTTTTTAATGCTTTACAAGATGCAAGTTTGGTTGGTAACCTTGGGAAGTCCACCATTTGCACCTACCAAGTATCATTTCTTGCTTATATTGTGATTCTACATGACACGGAAGTTGATAAAGCCGAAGTCGAATCTATTCAAGGCCTCTTCGAATTGAAAGATTTTCATAGGAATATTGGAGGATTCCAATCCATTGTAACTTTTTCCTAAGGAAGCCCTTTGAATCAAAGGAACAACACCTCCAAATTCCCATGGATTGGATTCCTACACCTCAATCCTATATGAGTTTCAACATCCATTGTAACCTCTTTTTTACACCGATTTACGTAGGATCGAGGCACTTTTCCTGTGTTTTATCCGTGTTCCATCCAAATGACCATTCATGCAGTTTTCCTTTGTTTTGCACCTGCAATCCCGTCAATTTCTTGTGTATTTTAAAGTCCTATGTTTTCCTATGATCCAAAGAAGCCATCAAAGTTGGCCGCCTGCTAAAATAGTCACCCAAGTGAGGAGTTTACTTGGTATCGATGAGTTTTATAGGCACACTGTGAAATATTACATCACCATTGCTGCGGCACTTAATGAGCGCACAAGAAAGGACATAATTTGTTGTTCCAACGATTTAACAAGACTTTTGATGTTGAATGTGATGCTAGAGGAACTGAATTAGGAGATATGTTTTACAAGATGGCTAACCTGATGCGCACTTTTCTAAAAGAATGGCCGATCCAAGTCAAAATTATTCTACTTATGGTAAAAAAAGATATATGTTCTTGTTCGGACTTTAGAAACTTGGCAACATTATGTATGATCCAAATAATTTGTTTTACATTTCAATCATGAATCTTTGAAGTATATAAGAAGTCAATCAAAACTGAAACGTAGACATGCTAAGTTGGTTGATTTTATTGAGCCTTTATCTTATGTCATTAAACACAAGAATGGTAAATAAAATGTCTGAAGGAAATATGCCCTAGAGGCAATAATAAAGTTATTATTTATTTCCTTATTTCATGATAAATGTTTATTATTCATGCTAGAATTGTATTAACCGGAAACATGATACATGTGTGAATACATAGACAAACATATAGTCACTAGTATGCCTCTACTTGACTAGCTCGTTGAATCAAAGATGGTTAAGTTTCCTAGCCATAGACATGAGTTGTCATTTGATTAACGGGATCACATCATTAGGAGAATGATGTGATTGACTTGACCCATTCCGTTAGCTTATCACTTGATCGTTAAGTATGTTGCTATTGCTTTCTTCATGACTTATACATGTTCCTGTAACTATGAGATTATGCAACTCCCGTTTACCGGAGGAACACTTTGGGTGCTACCAAACGTCACAACGTAACTGGGTGATTATAAAGGAGTACTACAGGTGTCTCCAAAGGTACATGTTGGGTTGGCGTATTTCGAGATTAGGTTTTGTCACTCCGATTGTCGGAGAGGTATCTCTGGGCCCTCTCGGTAATGCACATCACTATAAGCCTTGCAAGCATTGCAACTAATGAGTTAGTTGTGAGATGATGTATTACGTAACGAGTAAAGAGACTTGCCGGTAACGAGATTGAACTAGGTATTGGATACCGACGATCGAATCTCGGGCAAGTAACATACCAATGACAAAGGGAACAAAGTATGTTGTTATGCGGTTTGACCGATAAAGATCTTCGTAGAATATGTAGGAGCCAATATGGGCATCCAGGTTCCGCTATTGGTTATTGACCAAGAATAGTTCTAGGTCATGTCTACATAGTTCTCGAACCCGTAGGGTCCGCACGCTTAAGGTTTCGATGACAATTATATTATGAGTTTATGAGTTTTGATGTATCGAAGGAGTTCGGAGTCCCGGATGAGATCGGGGACATGACGAGGAGTCTCGAAATGGTCGAGACGTAAAGATCGATATATTGGACGACTATATTCGGAGTTCGGAAAGGTTCCGAGTGATTCGGGTATTTTTCGGAGTACCAGAGAGTTACGGGAATTCGCCGGGGAGTATATGGGCCTTATTGGGCCATACGGGAATTGAGGAGAGAGGCCGAAAGGAAGGAGGCGCGCAGCCCCCCTCTGGTCCGAATTGGACAAGGGGTGCAGCCCCTCTTTCCTTCCTCCTCTCCCCCTCTTTCCCCCTTCTCCTACTCCAACAAGGAAGGAGGGAGTCCTACTCCTGGTGGGAGTAGGACTCCCCTTGGCGCGCCTCTCCCTGGCCGGCCGCCTCCTCCCCTTGCTCCTTTATATACGGGGGCAGGGGGCACCCCATAAAACACAAGTTGATCTACGGATCGTTCCTTATCCGTGTGCGGTGCCCCCCTCCACCATATTTCACCTCGGTCATATCGTCGCGGAGTTTAGACGAAGCCCTGCGCCGGTAGAGTATCATCATCGTCACCACGCCGTCGTGCTGACGAAACTCATCCCCGAAGCATTGCTGGATCGGAGCCCAGGGATCGTCATCGAGCTGAACGTGTGCTGAACTCGGAGGTGCCGTACGTTCGGTACTTGGATCGGTCGGATCGTGAAGACGTACGACTACATCAACCGCGTTGTCATAACGCTTCCGCTTACGGTCTACGAGGGTACGTGGACAACACTCTCTCCTCTCGTTGCTATGTCATCACCATGATCTTGCGTGTACGTAGGAAATTTTTGAAATTACTACGTTCCCCAACAATGGCATCCGAGCCTAGGTTTTATGTGTTGATGTTATATGCACGAGTAGAACATAAGTGAGTTGTGGGCGATACAAGTCATACTGCTTACCAGCATGTCATACTTTGGTTCAGCGGTATTGTTGGATGAAGCGGCTCGGACCAACATTACACGTACGCTTACGCGAGACTGGTTTTACCGCCGTGCTTTGCACACAGGTGACTAGCGGGTGTCTGTTTCTCCAACTTTAGTTGAACCGAGTGTGGCTACGCCCGGTCCTTGCGAAGGTTAAAATAGCACCAACTTGACGAACTATCGTTGTGGTTTTGATGCGTAGGTAAGAACGGTTCTTGCTCAGCCCGTAGCAGCCACGT